GGCAGCAGAGGCCTGATGCCTCATATTCAAATTGAAGCCGACACAGCCATGCCCTTTATTCTGTGGTCTAACTATCACATCTGAGAAAATGCTAACATTCAGTGTGACAGAGGGTGTTACGGTGACTTTTAGACGGGCAGGACACGGCCCCCCAGGCGTGGATCTGCGTGGCAGCGAGATATGACACAGCTCGCCTGACAGAGCAATGGGGATACCCCCAAGATTAACTGAATGCATTAAAGGGAGGCATGAAACGACGCTAACTGTTGATTAAATCGCTGATACATCCATACTGGCAGTTCCAGTTAACCTGTTTAACTTTGACAACAGCTACGCCGCTAACATGGCAATCGCCCACAGGCCTAATGTGCTGTGTGTGGCATCGAAACGGACATGTTTATCAAAGAAATGGACGACGAAGTAATGATGTTTTTTAAGATGCCAGTGTGTGAATGATTTGGATATGAAGTCAAAGGACAGAAAGCCAAATAACTAAATATTTGATGTTTGTTTATATAATTTATTGAGCAATATAGTATATAGTGTGTATAATGCAATGCAAATATTAACAGAGGAATTGCTCCGTTTCTTTGTTTTGTATCCATGTCATTGTATTACATTTGAGAGAGAATATGTTACTTTGGGAACTTTTTAATATATGTTTTCAATTTTGTAGATTGAATAATCACTTAATAAAATGACGAAAATAATCATTTTGAATGTGCATTTTCTCCAGAATCCAAGTCAGGTCAGAGTGGCAAACTGATGATCTATGTTAAACTAAAACTGTACATTTGTAATTCACTATTATGATATACTTGTTGACATCATTCGTAGTGTGTCTGTTTTCTTTCCAATATTGTCCTGGTTGTTTGGTTGTTTTATATACAGTCTGACATATTGTTTGTTTCTTTAATGATGAATACAAAAACATTAGCACACTTATACCAATTTGGACGATCTGAAGCCCATGAAAAAACATTGCTTGTGATTGAGTAAATGAGAATGAGTTTGCCCCAAAGATGACACATGTTGCTGTTGGCCTCCAGCCCCACGCATTTATCGTTAGCGGTGGCTAAATATCTGCTGATGTTTTGATGAAAAAATAAATATGCTTTAACTAGGGCTGTGGAGATCGTCTGTCCGTAACAGTTTCTGGCGTTCAATCAAAGAAACACACTTGATTGGCTTCCTCAATTCTCTATATTGATAAACTGCTTCCAAATGAAAACAATCAAAGCTGAATCAAGTATAATCAAGCATAGTAATACCCTGCAGTGTGTGTGTGTGTGTGTGTGTGTGTGTGTGTGTGTGTGTGTGTGTGTGTGTGTGTGTGTGTGTGTGTGTGTGTGTGTGTGTGTGTGTGTGTGTTACAAAACACTATTCCAGCACCGCTGTAAAAGATTTTCTACACAAATCTCTCTGAATCTCCTCTAAACAGACTTTACTTACCGTTTTCACTTTCACTCACTTTTTTTATCAAACACACACACACACACACACACACACACACACACACACACACACACACACACACACACACACACACACACACACACACACACACACACACACACACACACACACACACACACACACACAGTACCAAGGAGGTATACAAGCACCATCTAGTGCTTTATTCTGGAATTTGCTCTGCAGAAGGACAGAAATGTGATCCCACATTTTCAGTTATTTTCTATTTAGAATATTTGTTCTTACATGATTCAACATTTAAATATCCAAATTCTCAATGGAGAGAGATGGTTAAGTACATTTTGCATCTCATTAGGAGAATAGGATAACAACTGTGACCAAACAGTATTCAGCAAAGCTGCACAAATACAAAACAATGAAAAACACAATGCCTGTTTGATTATAAGTCCATAATTGTGCCTCTTAGTCAGCCTGACCCCTGTCGTGAAGGACTTGCATGTGTTTAAAAACAAAGGAAAAAGCTATTAAGACATAAAATAAACAAATATTACTATGTATACGTTCCCTAAACTTTCACTAATCCATTGTCAAAACTTAGATTTCCTTTTTAAAAACAAGTTTCTCATTCTAGATCAAGACTTATGCTCAATGGATACTCTGAATACTGTGTGTGTGCGTGTGTGTGTGTGTGTGTGTGTGTGTGTGTGTGTGTGTGTGTGTGTGTGTGTGTGTGTGTGTGTGTGTGTGTGTGTGTGTGTGTGTGTGTAACATTATGTACCTCCTTTCCTCAGCTTTCATAGATAAGTAGATGCTGATGGTGGAAACATGGACTAGTTTCAACAACTCGGCTGTATCTGGAATCATCAACTCACGTCACTAACCTGTTAGCGCTGAAGCAATCACTCATTTCACTGAGACGTGTGCATTTTTTAACAGTTATGCAACAAAAAGCCAAATACAGTTTAAAGCAATGATATAACTGAGGCTAAGTTCAGACCTAAAACGTGTTTTTTCTCTTTCCTGGGAAAAAGCCAATGCATGAGAGGTTTCTTAAGAAATTATCTGAATCAAACTCTTTATTATATCTACTAGAAACCCAGATGTTTTAAATACAAAAGTACAAAAATATTCCCATCACTTCTTGTAGTACTGGAGACGAAACAAACAAAGGTGTACTGAGTGTAGAAAAATGTTTCATGGGCTGGGAAAGTCCCAATGACACCCATGGGCGGCCTAAATCACTACAAGGCCAGGTTAAAAAAGTTTTAAAAGGTCAGAAAAATAGTCTGGAGACAGAAACGTTATACTAACTTTACAGAACTGGATGTCACGTTTGACGAATGTGTTTTAATTAAAAGTGTAAATGTATTTCAGACTCAGATTTTGACTCTGACGTTCACTCCCTATAAGCACGCCAAAACAAAAGATAAGCTGCTGACCCATCAGCCCTCTTTATCGAAAAAGCTTGGCTGACATACTCAGCCTGAGTGCACCGTATTAATAGTCTCTTTGACCTTTGATCTTAAGGCTCTAGAGTTATCAAGTAAGATTGGTTATGAAAGTATTCTTGCCTTAATGTATCTCAAGACGCTGACATTTGACTGTTACTGAGAGATATCTGGAGACTGAGGGTTAAAGTCCCCCTCGGCACACGGCTGTTGTTGACCTTCCCTGTACAGACTGATGCATGTGATACTACTGCTTCCACTTTCTCCTACAGAGAAGGAATAAGTGTCTCTGTGCTCAGCTTTAACCTGAGTTTAAGACATGTGAGTACAAGAATGATTGGAGACATCAATATTTTTGGAAGCTATGGAAGCCACGTAAGGTCAAATAGGCAACCTAAATAGATGATGTGAAAACCTACAGCTTTTCATTGAAAAGAAGACATTTTCCGTCTAGGTAAAAAAACTTCTAACATTAAAAAATATCTTGTATTTCTTGTTTTAGCAAGAAATACAATATGGAAAAATCATATCAAACACAAATTGTTATTCCAATCAGTCTATTCTATATGTCTTTCAGTATGTCTAAATGGGGTCTTTGAACAATAAATACTCATAGTTATTGGTTATTGTTTAGGCTCATCCACACTGATAATCCTAAAGGGAAACCAGTTACAGACACAGCTACAGCCGTAGTACCATGCTAACCTCAACAGACCTTTGTGGCATTTCTGCCAAACACCGTGTAATTTGAATTGAGCATACAAATTAGTTTGAGTCAGATAATAAACATGTGTGGAAAGTGTGATTGATTTATTTGACATTATGCATGCGATCCACACAAACAACATACAACAAGGCCTCCGCAAACAAACAAGCTTCAGGCCCAATGAAGCCTGCACAATTACTGACTAAACATATGGGTAAACCTACTTGGTGGTACCCAGCTGTCTGCCATAATATTTACTGTACTGCTTGCATCCAGCCAAGAGTAATACAGGCTCAGATTTAATGTCTGGATTACATGGAGTTCACAGATAAAGCACAGACTTGTTGAAATTAACTTTTGAAAAACTGCACTGATAATTGTTTTTTCAGAGCATTGGTAATGTTGCCAGAAACTGACAACACGATGAGACATTTTTTATTTTATGTAGTCTGAAGCACTGGTACACCACTTAAGTCCAGGCACTGCTGTTGACCCTTAAAGAGGCTTCAGTGGATCAGCAGTATCACTTCTCAAAGATAAACACATACTATGTGTGAGTGTCTTGTCTAAAATCCAAACTCGTCCACTAATATTCAGTGGTGGAAGAATTATTCAGATATTTGATTTCAGTTCAAATAAACATACCACAATGTCATAATACTTCAGTAGAAAATAAAAGTTGTGTAGCTTATTTTATTGTTAGTAGTACATTAGGTTAAAGCCTTATGAGTTCTTACAGCAAAACCTATTCAGTGTCTAATAGTACAAGTATTAACTATGGGAGAAAAATAACTCTTTAACTCAGTTAGATTATTATGTATTATACTATTTCAATGTTGTGGAGCTATGTACAGTATTGTTCAGTATAATATTTTACTGATTGTTTAATTAACTGTAACAAAGGCTAGACATTGATATGCTCATTATATGTCTTATAATAAAATCTACAAAGTAACTATAGCTGCTAAGTAATGAATGTAGTGAATGTAGCATAGTCAAATAAAAGCAGGCTTATAGAATTTCCTTCTGAATTGTAGTGAAGTCGTATGAGGTTGAATGAAAAGAAAGTACTTGAGAGAAACACACGTAAAGACTGTGGGCTTCTTTTTTAAGCTACTTTTTAAGCTACTTAGCTTTACTTGGCAAAATCTGTAGGCGTTCATGAAGTTAACTATAGTCCAGGTTTGGGACATTTTATTAGCTTTATTCGTCATAGTAAAACCATTGGAACATGTAAGTAAACTTCTGACAAACACACATGTTCATAGTACCTTACAGTCTATGGGTCATACCTTGACAACAGCGCAGTTTTTCTGCCTTTCGCAAACTACTGCAGCGCCGTCGAACGAAGAGCCATAAAAGCTCCCCGGTACCCGTAGTTTGATGACGTTGCCGGCCAAACATGGTGGAGTGAGCACAATTCAAAAACACAGCAAAATTGTTTGCGGAACAGATGAACAAACCGTGAATATAAACTATCAGACTGGCTGCTCCAAGCCACGAATCATATACGGAGCAGTTAACACAACAATGTACAGCAGAGGTTGCGCCATGTTTGTAGTTTTAGTGAGCGATGTCACAGCCACATGGTTCTGAGCTCACTGAGATGTGGAGGAGTGTTTGCAAACTGAGCAAGGACAAGAAAACAGGACAGCAAATACATGGCACACCAACAACAGCCATGTGTAAAGGTGAGAATGCAGATCTGTTTGATGTATGCTCTGAATGATTAGTTAAACAACTGGTGGATTGAAGCCATTTAACCCCGTGTTATTTAACCTCCGCTACTAGGGGGAGGGGCAGTGGCCATTGGATCAAACACAAAAGTGACAACATGCTTACTGACTTCACTTATTACTTTAACTAATGTCACAATACACCATAAACCTTTTTTTGTCTAAAAAGTTCATGATTTAGTGTCAATGTTAATCCATGTGACACGTGGGAAAGATTATATATTGATAAGCATCTTCTTACTTAGAGAGATCGAATTTGATTTATTTTAAAGGCCTTAAATATATAGCAATGACTTCTTAAACTTGACATACAACGGTGTCCTTGACGCATAACGTTAGGATGAGATTTGGGATCTAAGTTGGCCATATTAGAACTCAATTAAGATGTTCAAATGTATATTTTGCAGGACTGTTAGCTAACTTATTACATTTTCTGTAGCGGCTAGAAGCTGATGGTATCAGCTGTTTAACAGAAGCTTAGGACTTTACCAGTTGCATACATGTTACTAAGTGTTCCTCTCAGATCTAATGCTCTGAAGTAGCATTTACATCAACAATGTCACACTAAGAAGACTTATACTAGTCCTATCATGTATATTGTTTTCCTAAATGCACAAACTAATTGTAGTCATGGAACAACATGGAGGATATAGTCTAACACTTGATTTGTGTTTGATGCACAGATCTGCAGAGCCCAAAGCGGATAGGCTTCAGCAGATACCCCGGCTTGAATAATGGGGATTCTCCAGGTGATGGAGAACCATCACAGGACATCTTCTGGGACTCTACATCGCCCACAGCTGGTACTGGTAAACCAAATAGATACCCAACACAGAAATCACATCTGTTTTCTGTTTCCATTTTATTTATTTTTTTAAATCACAGACTTTTATATCTGAATTACAGCTTAATGAGCTTATACATAATTGACAACCTGCTGTTTTACTAGCGGCTTTACTTGGGGATGGAAACTACACATAGATACAACTAATTATGTTATATGACCATACACATGCAATAACACTGAAATTACTTTCAATAATACTTTCAAAAAAATCTTTGTGTTTGAAAACACAACTTGGATCATATTTATGATAAGTAATTTCCATTGTTTTTTGGGCGTTTAGTAAGTAACAGTTTCTATCTGTCTCCAGGGCCCAGACACGTGAACACAAGAGTTGTGGAAATATCCGATATTGTCAACCGTATTGCTCCAAAGGTCAGTTATTTCTTATTTTCTTGGTTGTACCACTCAGTTTGAGGCGCTGTACTAAGGTTTTTGACTTCTTTGGCAATTATTTTGAATACAATTCTTAAACTATTGCTTATTTTGTGTGTTTTAAAAGGATGTGAAGCGGAATGAGAATGATTCTCCTCTGCTGCAGTGGATAGGTGACAGTGCCTTCCATTGCACACCCGAAATGCCAAAGCCACGCGTCAGGAAGAGGTCCTCAAGGTGTGTTATCTATTCATTAAACCAGAAATTCACTCACTCGGGACAACAAATGTATTGCCTACATTAACAAACACTATTTGCAAGCATTAAAGGTAATTTTTACTAGTAGCATTTGTTTATTTTGGATTAGAAGAAACACCAGATTCACATTTTTTCTTTATTTTTTCTTCTTTCTCTCTACAGGCAGAACAGTGTGGACGACCTCAAGAAACTGGCCAGGCAGTTTGACGAAAACATGCAGCAGGACAGAAAACTGACAGAGACATCAGTCCCTAGTAATGTGAAGGACCCAAAGTGTCCGTCCTCATCGGATCAGGTGGAGGCCGAGCTGCACGCTCTGTTCGACTCCTCCACTCAAAAAGTCAGCGGCTTCCTGAGCCAGGGCTCCTCAACATCGGCCCGCTCACAGGACACTTTAGCTGAACCCCGACAGTCTGAGCTCAAGTCAGCTGAAAAGTCAGGCCCAGCTGTACATCCTGCTGGAGATAGGGGATCTTGTAATGACTTTGATGACGACTGGGAGAACGACGACCTCCTTGACTCTTTTGTGCTGTCTATTCCTATTCCTGACAAAATCACTAAATATCAGAAGGGTGGTGTAGACTCTGTTAAAGACATTTCAGACAGCTTATGGGATGATGGGGACGATGACGCGCTGCTCTACCAGGTATGTGACACTGTGGAGAAGATCTCTAACAGTCAGCCGCAGCAAGCAAGCACCAACAACTGCCAAGCAAAGCAAGATATTTATGTAGACAGACAGAGAAAAAACCCTGTGCCAATCGACACGTCCCGGCTCATGGTCGCCGGTGCCAGTACTAATAGTCGGTGGCCACATGCTTTTGTTCGCTCTAACTCATTACCGGAGACTAGCAGTAAAACTGTGAACTACCAAGGGTGGAACATTCCCATAAAGGGTGCCAGCAACAGATCACAGATGTCTCAGAGCCACCCGGGAAGCCATGTGAGTCTGGGCACATTTAACCAGGGCAGGGATTCCTCTGGAACTTTCCAGGCCGGGAATGTGGACATGAAGCCGCACTCAGTGTCAGCCGGGACACCGCAGAGCTCCAAGTCCCATCACACGGCCTTCAAGAGAAACGTGTCTGACTCGGCAGCTATAAGCAGCAAAGGTGAGCTGTCTAACATGTGTTATTTACTCCTGGTCTCTATTAAAGCATGATAAAGAATAGTTTAGATTACATTTGATTGTCATTGCACAGAGTAAAAGTACTGTTAGCATCTCTAACCAGCAGTGCAAGAGAAGCAGTAAAGTGCATCATATAAATATGACAGATATAAAAAAATTAAAAAAGCATATACACTATGAAAAATATTATAGGTTACAAACACTCTGAACAGTAGTATGAATGTTGAATACACTATAGAGGTAATAGGAAAATAAACAGTATACTATAGACCACATGTGTCAAACTCAAGGCCCGGGGGCCAAATCAGGCCCTTGGTGGATTTAATTTCGGCCCGCAGGATAATTTGTAATTACTATTAGATCTGGCCCGCCGGTATATTGCACGCACACCTTCACTCAATCCTGAGGGTTTCCTCAGCTCAGAGCCTGAGCCCAAACATTGATGAACTTGCACCCAAGATGAGATGCCAAGTATCTGGCTTGAACTAGCATCACAGAGCAGCACACTGAGTTTACATGGAGGTTTCCTTCTGCACTTTCTTTCTTGAGACAACAGGGCATGTTTGGTTTTCTCTTTGAGGGAAATTGTTTTTTAGAAGCTGTTGTTGGCCTGTGGAAAAATGTAATCATAAGAAATGACTCAGATAGCAGATAGAGCCATAAGAAATGAATGCAACTGATTATTTAATGTTTAATGTTGTTTTTATAGGCAATCATTTAAGCTTTGTTAGTTCCAGGTTTAATATGTGCAATAAGTTCATTTCAATACGTTTTTGCAATAAACATTGAACCAGTCCGGCCCTCCACTAGTACCCATTTTTTTATTTTGGCCCACTGTGTATTTGAGTTTGACACCACATAGACGCTGGCACAACAAACGTATGAATACCTTATAGAACAGTAAAGACACTATAGACACTAATAATATGAATTATTATTAGAACACTATAGAAAGTATAACTAGTATGGACAGTTTTATAATAAAAAATAAGCAAATAAATGACTTATTCAAAGAAAAAATTATTAAATTAAGCTAAAGTTAAATGATGTTAACACGTAAGAACACATGTTTGTCTTAAGAAAAGTCATAAGGAAAATGCATTAACACTTTTCTATAATTTGACAGCATTATAGTAAATGCATTTGATAAGTGGTATCCAGTAGAATATGTGAAAACTAAAGCAGGGTGTCCGCGGGGTCTTTAAAAGTATTAAAAGTTGATAAATCAATTTAGCGAAAATGAAGACTATTAAAAAGTATTAAATGGCATTTCCCAAGGTTTTACATTTTGTAGCTAGTTTTCAATAAGTATATCAATTGTCCAAAGAGGTTGTATTCTAAAGTCTGCCTGAATGTAATCATTGCGTAGGTGTGTAGTGTGATTCTGTGTAGTTTATTTATGGCATCCCGTTGGATCTGACGTCATCTGAACAGGACATCGCACGCTCACTGCTTGATAGCGCGCGAAGCTCCGTTTACGCCGGTTGTTAAACAACATCGTTATGGGGAAATGCAAGTTTGCGTCCAAATGGTTGGAAGATAAGGAGGAAGGACAATCAATACTGTATATAGTAAATGTGAGGTGAAGTGTGTCGCCAATGTAACCGGTTAGAACTCCAAGTGGCGATGAGGTCTTAAAATGTATGGAAAGGGTCTTAAAAAAGGTCTTAAAAGGTATTACATCTGACTTCAGGATTCCTGTAAAGGTATTCCCATTAAGACCCATTTTTCCTCCACTCAATGCTTCTTGGCAGTTTGTCTATTCCATTTACCGTCTTAAATACTCTGCATTTAGACTGGATATTGAAGTGAAAACTCACAAGTGAAACAGATGTCACATGTTGTTCTTATAATCAATGACAGCGTGTGCACATGGACAATTCCCCCCCAGAACAAGTAAACAGAGCTATGGATTTAATTTGGGATGCTGTCAGGAGTCCAAACCTCAGGAAGCTTCATTGCCAATGAATTGCAAACTGATTCTTTTTTTCTGGACATGGAGGGTGGGTTTTAGTACTTTCCAAATGAGCTCCACCATGGGTGCCCTGCTGGTTCTAGTTATGGTAGCGAATTATTTATGTCATCAAATTAAAACTTAGCTGTTCAGTCGCCACACAAGTTCTGATTTAGGGTCAATTTGAACCTTTTTCTTCAAGTGTTTAATTCTCGATGATTTCTAAGCTCGTATTCAGTGTCTTCATTCATTTCCCTCACTTCCCTTCCTCCTGTTCAGTTTTTGTCACAAGCCAGATGACAACAAAGTGCTCTGCAGCCGAGATCGAGAGGAAGAAGCAGGAGGCGTTAGCCAGGAGACGACAGCGAATGCAGAACGCCCCGAAACCGTAGAGGAGCTTGGTCCTGAATAAAGGGATATTATAACACTACAATAAGCCTTTACAAAACGAATCATTCCATATCAGAGGCTCAGACACGTCCTTTTCACCAATGATAGCATCTAAGATGATATCATGTTTGTATTAATCAGTATGAAAGATGTTTAACAGAAAGGACCTAGTGTCTATTAAAAATAAATGAATGTCTGTGTTCTTGCTGCTGATGTAGAAATGTGTATGCAAAGTTAGATTTAAGCACTGTTCTCTGATCTGCTGCTGGGATAACAATAGAAGAGATTTCCCTGAGCTTTTCTAATGCTGACTGAAAAATAGTTTACATTCCAGTTGGAAAAAGTTCTACATTTTCTGTTGTCATGTAATGTCTGCACATATTTTGGATAACACTTTTGTTTAAAAGTAGTAAATAGTTTCATCTGTGTTTCTCTTGGAACTGCAATACCCAGGGCCTCTGCACATGATTGGTTGAAGTTATTCATTAGACATGTCTTCATCTAAGTAACAATGAAGACAGTCATTGCTGTATTGTTGACTGTATGTGTTTGATCAAACAGTGTATGTGTCTTCCTATATATATATATATATATATATATATATATATAGCCGACTTTTGTTTGTCTATGAATTTTTTTTTAGCTTTTATTTGCACAGGCCAGAATGATGTGTTGTATTGTAAAGACAGTGATCCTCCTCTGTAGACAACAAAGCATTTTAACGGCCATTCACCTGAAGATGATTGCTTTACTATTCCTAGAAGTCGTGGTTAGCTGTGTCATGAGGGTCGTACACAGGTGAGACAACAATCAGATATACCTTCCTCAGTGCCTTTGTGTTTTGACTCCAGCCTGTTACCTCACAACAACATGATGGACTTATTGACAAGATGTTTTGAATAAACACAAACTACTACTGTTTTCTATGATGATGTGTCTACCTGCCAAACCCAAATCAAAGGAATACATTATTCAGACTGTGTATAAACGGCTTTAATCGTATTTGGTGTTAATGCAAATTAAAGCTCTTAACAATGCAATTTTCAAACAATGTTGACGTGGAGAGAAGTTCTATATTGAATAGAAAATACAAAAAAAGGAAGCTGCAGGTGCTTTTGGAAATGCAGACTAATCGGTATATCAACCAGTATTATTCAAGACTGAAGTTAAAGCAACAATGTGCAAAATACTGCTGCACTAACTCTCAAGCTAACTGCAGAAGAAATATCTCAACAGCAGTCGTGTGGAATATCGGAGCGTGTAATTGCTCAAAGAAAGACTGCCAATCAAAAAGAGAACTTGCAAAAAAATCTGATTTATAATCCGAGATCAACATTTTAGATCGTTCAAACCACTGTTCAGGGGACCCCAATTTTAACCACATCTGATCTGGGATCAAAGTGGCCCGATTCTAAAATGAATTGGGGACAATCGATTAATGGGCTAAAACTGAGCGTAAATGCCTGCAGGGCTTTAAAAAAAATGTTCAACAGTTGTAGTCTTAGCTATAATGATATTCAATGGATCATACATTTCCCATGATGCATCTGAACAGTGTCTGTCAAGATAACAACTCCAGCGTCCAAAAATGTCCCCTTCTTTCGAAACCCACTTCATCACTGAGTTACTTTTTGGTTAAATGTCTTATCCTTCAAACTTTGTACAGCTGTTTTCACAGGCTGAGAACTCCTCAGGACGAAACAACCGGACCTTGTTTAAAATGGATGGAGTTCCCCTATAGAGACACTTTGTCGGAGTCTTTTCGCTGCATCATTGACTCTACTGTTGAATCAGACAGCTGCTCAGGCTTTTGAGTGTACACAGACTGCCTCCTTACTGCAGTTATTGGCATCCATTACTGTAACCTCCGTGTATTGCAGGCCTGTTGACAGGTCCAGCAGATATGATGGGCCCATTTCACAAACACTCAAATCTGTTTTCAACAAGTTGCTGCCTGAAAAGGAAGACCATTGTGACCGTGCAATAGCCTCCGTGTGGAGCGTATTATTGTTATTAGACGTGAGGGATTATTTTAATATGAGGGCTAATTTGTCCTGTGGCCCCTTATCACTCTCCTCACCTGCTGTAGTGTGTGTGAGGGGAGGACAATGTTCCTCTTTGTAATCCCAGGAGAATTCCTCAGTGTTCCTCCCTCCAGCCCATCCCCAGCCATTACGTGCCAGTGAGTTCCCAGGTGTGTGTGTGTGTGAGACGGGTGGTCTGCAGGTGTGTATATTTGAGTATTTATCCCATTCCTTGCACGTAATAGGCCCCATCCTCCTCCCTGCTCCCTGTCTTCTTCCCCTCCCCACTCACTGTAAATCAGATGGCAGGGCAATTTGGCAACAGCATAAAAGCCCCTGGTTTTTATGACTATGATTATGGTTATGATGATGACTAGTATTTATTTCAACTATCTGATGAAACCCTTGGCTAAAGCTAACAGGTGTCGGGCAGGTACAATATCGTGCTCGCTGAAGGATCCCTGTAACGTCGCCATAGAGGGGGAAATATCGCGGAGCATACAGAAGAAAGGGCTGTTTCAGCGCCCACTCGTTACGCCGTACACGGAGCAATTTCTGATTATTGGATGGGAGTGGAGCGCCACAACGTCCCCTTTGTAGAGGAAAAATGATTTATGGCTGTTAGTCGGGCATAAGGCAGTAATTGCCGCAGTGACGATTATGTTACCATGGCACCTGTTTAAACTGTCCATTCTTATGTGAATGTTTTCATTTTTGGAAGAGGGGGATTTGCAGCTTGAAACTGATGTGTGGAGACATTAATTGAAGTTTGGGATGGTGTGGTAATCATTTAGGGGAAAAGGGAGAGTGTATGATGGACAGATTTGTGTTGTGTTATGTGATATATTAGGGAAAGTTTGCTTGAAACCCGGGATATTTTCTTAGGCATCCAAGACAGAAGCAGTCTATTCAGCAAGTGTGATAAATACACTAAAATATGTGCCAATATTGCTGCTAAAAAAAAGTTTTCCCCAATTTTACTGCTTTACTACTGAATAATTGAATTTATACAAAAGCTAAAAAGTCAACAAATGCTACATGAAAAGCAAAATAGGAGTTAAAGCTTAATGATGCTCCTAAATCCATACGTGTTAATCTTTATGTAAACATTTAGCACTCAGTAACGATAATTAGGGACAGCGCACTCATGGCGTGACAGCTTAGAGGTTGTTGTTCTGTGCTGAGTTTGACCTTTGACCTCTGCGTAGGTGTTTCAGTGAAAAGAAGATTTCTCCTTCCTGGATCAAAACAATATTTTTGTTGAAACCCTGTCTTACAGGTTCAAGACTCAAACACCTATACTAATGCCGGATATCGAAAATAAATATCGATGCCTCAAATCTCAAAAAAGGCAAAAAAACTTCCTGAAACCTGAAATTATATTGGGTTCAATCTTCCTAACATTCTTATTCTCAAATGTAATTTGGTTAAATAACTACAATTATAATTAAGTTCAATCACTAAACTGCTAAAAGTGGGGATACGCATTGTGAAAAGAATGCATATTAATGCATCAAGCATTATCTCACTCTTTCAAATCTTTTACTGTTATAATCTAAAGTGATACTGTTTTAGGAACAAGAGCTGGGAGACTATTCCCCTTTTTGTCACCTCTCATTGCCTTCCTTCTACACTCACTCTCAGTGTGGGGTTGAAGTGGCGGAAGTGAGTAATGAGACCTGGAGGCCTACTCGTGTGCAGGATTACAAATGCATTTGTAGTAGATTAGCATGAGCCAAGATTTTCCTATAGGGCATCCACAGTTCCACAAAACAGACTCCAAGAACAGCAAACACACATTAAACTTCTTTGGAAATACGACCTGAGGAAGCTATTGCCTTCTTCACACAAGTGCAGAGCAGCCTTGGGAGATAGCATCTCTAATTGCTTTTCCTGCTGCAGAAAGGCTAAACACTGTTATCATAGCTCACAGATTACCTCCCAATGTAGGACTAATGCATATCACACATACATGAGCTCCTTTTCCCACTTGTTTCAACTCTCTAAATCAGGCTATCTCTCTTTTTCATCTGTTTGTATATCTGTGTCTCTCTCCCTGTCTGTCTCTCACACACACACACACACACACACACACACACACACACACACACACACACACACACACACACACACACACACACACAGGGAGTGGAGGCGGTGTGCATCGCTGTGGCAGCAGCCTGTCAGCAGCGTAAATGACCTGTGAAGAGTTTCACGGTGCGTGTCATTAGGCAGCTTTAGATTTGTTTCAACAGCGCTTTACCTGAGGGCTCCATTCATGGGCCCCCAGGTATGACCGCCCTCCTCACTGGGGGGGAAGTCGAGGGGTGTGTTGCCAAATTCCCCCACTCCCTCCTTGGAGGACAGTGATGGAAAGCCCATGAGCATGATGGGGCAACACTTAAGTGTAGAGTTCAGGGTGTTTTGGGAGTACAAACGGCAAGAGAGTCATCTTTTAAAAGTAGTTTGGACAGATTTTTGCTCATGTTGTTTGTCTGGAAACACTTTACTATTATTGGCTTTTTATTTATTGGTTGCCATTAGGAAACAAGATGTCTGATAGTAGAATAAACTATGGGATTGTAAGACATTAAAGCCAAGACTTTCTCAGTGATATTGATCTTTTGTTGTGTCTTTAAACATGATGTACAGACTATTATAGTGATGCACAGTCTTAGTAATGGAACCTTTTTATATTCGTTGTGGTGTGAAACAACATACCTCCCATTTTCAAAGTCTAAAAGGGATTATTTTTCACCCACCTGGGGCAACACTGACATTTAAATTGTCTAGTTGACAATCTCGTCCAAGTAATTTACAACTACGTAATCAGTGGAATATCTTCCCAAGAAAAATAAGTAATGTAAAGGTCAATGTCACCGAGGCGTAATAATGATAAGGAGCAAGGAGGTGTCTTGTTATTATAATCTAAATCACTGCTTTGGAATGGAAGGAGTAAGAGAAGAAACACATCTTGTGAAGGATTTATTACCCACCTGAAAGCTCTGCAATCAACTCGACTTTCTAAAACCTACACACTGTTCAACCCGGGGATTATCACCATGAGTTTTTATTTTTTTTATCTCCTCCATCTAAACTGATCTCGTATTGATACCCCAGCATCACCACGCTTTATTAAGCATGCTGATAAGAGTCTGCAGACTTAACCAATGTTTTGAGAAACGAGGCTCTGTTGCACACAGCCAACAAATATCGCTGTTGCCACATTCCTCCGGCCTATATCTGCCAACACCTTTGCGCTACAATGGCTTTGGACCTTTTTTCCCCAGCCTGTAATAGTCAGCGTGGGCTGTAATGGTCTGTTGACAGGTTTAGGCTGAGGTAATTCTGTTGCCGGGCTTTACAGTGAGGTGCCAAATCTTCCCCTGAGGACAAAAAGGAACAGCAGATGCAGGAAAGCTAGCTATTAGCTTTATAATACTCACTTTGTTATCGGTCAATTGTTCTTATAAAAGTTTGCAGACAAAGAGCCCGCAAATCATTTTTATACAAGTGCTTTCACATAATGTCAGCTCATATTTAAGGACCTGGAGTTA